AAAGCTATCTTACTGCCCTAAATCTTATTACTTTATTAACTATATAAAAGGTATATCGATCGCTAAATATTATAATATTAATATAGATTATATAGTTAAAGTTAATATTATTATAGAATCTAAATTAGAACTAATATAAAGTATCTATATACTTCTAGTAGTACTTATATATCTCTTTTACTTATTATATAATATTAGAATCTAATATATAACTTACTTAGTTTAAAAGATATTATAAATATTATACTAATAAGTAACTAAATCGCTTATAGAGTCTATAAATCTCTATTTCTATAAGGTAATAAGCTAATATATCTTTATCTGAATACTCTAATAATTAGTAATATTAATCTAAAAGAAGCTATATATACCTGCTTTTCCGGATAATTAAGTACTTAATATCCCCTTGAACTAAAGTATTAGTGAGATTATTATAGTAGATCCTTAGTTAGTTAAGGTATTAAAAGTATATTAAGAATAATATATTAGTATTTATAATTATAAATTCTATCTATCTAATAGGTATATCGATTATAATAGTTCTTAATATAACTCTTATATTAGCTCTGAATTAGATCTAATAATATCTCGCTTCTCTTTTATTAAATATAACTTTCCGAATTTATTATAAAGCTTATAACTAGTTAAGACTACTTATATTTCTCTTTAATACTCTAGTATTAATTAAAAGGCCTTAAAAAACTATCTTAGATTACTAAGTAATAAAAGCTTCTATTATTATCTTAAGCTTAAGTTATTCGATTATACTTTAGAAGATATAAATAGCCTTATATTCCTTAAGGTACTAGAGAACTTACCTTATATTATACTCTATTTCTAATATATAGAATATAGTAATAAAGTATATTACTCTATCTTTATCTTTTATATCTACTTTAGTATTATTAGAATAGTTATTATTATCTTCTATAGAAGTATATCAGGAAAAAATTCTGGCGCCGGGTGTATGTACTACCTGCTATTTTCGCTATTTTCGCTAAATAGTCGCGTTTTACGCTTAAGGCGCCTTAAAATATAAGAGGCCGCTGTATATCAGCCTTAAATAATAAAAGGCCGCCTTATACGCCCTAGGCGCCTTTTATAAGACCTACTTTTATATATAAGCTAGACTTAATTAGGAAAGATATAATATTTTTAATTAAAATTAAAAATTAAAAGTTAAGTTTATTTTTAGATTTTAAACTAACTAAAAACAGTTAGACTAGTATAGAATTTAACTGAGAATTTAAAAAGACCTGTACTTTCTATATATATCTTTAAAACTAGTCTCGCTAAGCTTTTAATACTATAAATATCTACGCTAAAAAATTACTAATAAGCTTATAATTCGATTCAGGTAAATTCTATATAAAAGTAAGTCGCTGCCTTACCTAATCGGGCGATATAAGCTTAATAATACCTCCTTATAAGGTATATTCTTCTTAGTATCCTTACTAGTAGTATCCTTAGTATTCTTAAGGCTTTTAGTAAGCTTACTAATATACCTTATATAATATAAAAAAATCGGACCTACTTTTATTTTATACGCTAGTCTTAATTAGGCTTATAAGCACCTATAGCGCCCTAGTCGCTTAAGGCGCCTATAGTGCCAGTAAAAATTACTATATACCGCTTTAGGGGTCGCTAGCTATTAAATTAATCGATATATAACTTAGGCTAGAAATCGCGAAAATAGCGCTTACGGCGGCTAGCCGGCGGCTGCTTGGAGCTAGATCTTTTTGCTGATATATCGGAATTGTCCTTTTTATAATCTTTATTAAGTCTTCTGAACTAGTCTTAATTAGGCTCTAAATCTAACTCCTTCTCTTTAAAGTATATTATATATACTTTATAGGACTTTTCTATAAGCTTTATACTTTTAGCTTTTTATTCTATAAAATACTTTACTTTTAAAGCTACTTATTCTTAGTTAGAGTAATAGCTACTATAATAGTCTATCTTTTTATAAATAATATAACTTATATAACTAAAGAGTACCTTAAATCTATTCTTATATTTATTTCTTAAGAAGAACTTTATCTTTTAGTCTAAGTAATAAGTATTACTATTTATAATATATATTTAAGATTAATTCGGATTATTCTTAAAGTATCTTTCAAATCTAAATCCGGAATCTTATATTATTTCTATATTTATAATCGCGTAAAAGCTATCTATTAGTATAAGGAATATTAAAAGTAGCTTAAATAAAGCTATCTTAAATAAGGGATTCTCTAAAACTCCTTATATTAGCTTATTATATAATATTTTATTATTCTATATATTATTATCCTTAAAATCTAATTAAATACTTTATAGCTCTCTTGCGAAGCTTTCTAATTATATTAGAGCTAATTTACTTTTCTAAAATAGCTTATTCTAAAATATAGAAAAGATTATACTAAACTACTAACTTAAGTATTAATTAGCTCTCTTCTCTATCTTATAGTTATTATAAGTAGCTTATACTAGCTTATTAAATAAGTACCTCTTATTCTAAAGGTACTAGTAGTAGTATAATAAGGCTCTATCTTAGAGTATAAATAGAAATACCCTATACTATAATATAAACTCTACTAATACTTATTAATAAAGATTAGTAAAGATATAAAGCTTCTTATTAAAGATAATCTCTAGCTTTACTATATTAAAGCTCCTTAGTATATATTTTACTAAGGCTTATTAGTGATTTTACTTATTCCGAAGAGATTAGTTCTATAATATATTAACTTAGATAAATAAGCTCTAAATATATTCTATTTTAGCTAAATACTTAAAAAGAAGATAATATCTTATCTTTTAAATATATTATAAGAGCTAAGATAAGATCTAGTAGATTATTATCTCTTAGTCTTTATACTAAAGGCTAATTAGTATATTATCTCTTTTATCTTATTAGAAATAATTCCTCTTTTTTAATATTAATAAGAGAAGAGACTTTATAGATATCTTTACTTTCTATAAAGAGTTTAATATATAAAGGTCCTTAGGAGTCCGGATATTAAAATAAAACTTATTCTCTTAAGAGATTACTTATTTATATTCTCTCTTAGCTATTTTAATACTTTATTTCTATATTATTAGAAGCTATAATCTCTATAGATAAAAATAATATATTAAGTAAGTTCTAATAAAGTATTTATTATACTTAGTTCTCTCTTTAATTATAAGTCCGAATCTTATCTAAAAAGAAGCTAAATAGTAAGTCTAGTAATAGTTTAGTTTTCTATTTATCTAGCTAAGTATTCTCTTATACTTAAACTACTATTATAAGAGCTTAAGAAATCTATAATCCTTTTTAATATTAAATATAGACTTAATTCTTTAAGAGATAATCTTAGAGCTCTTATTATTACTTACTTATTATCTTCTTAAAATTATCTATTATTTAATCTAAAAAGTATTCTTAAAAGTTCTAGAATAATATCTCTCTCTTAATACTTTTCTTTATAGAATAATCTATAAATCCCTAAACTAAACTATTAATATTAGCTCTTATAAAGCTAGCTAAAAGTACTTTAAGAATTAGTATTTTATTTTATATTAAAGTTCTACTACTTCTAACTTTTACTTTAAGTTATTCTATAACTTAGTCTATAGAAGTCGCTATTATACTAAAAGCGATTTATAAGTATTTTAGATATATCTTTTATATCTTAGAAATATCTAATTAAATAGCTCTAGAAATATCTTAATAACTATTAGAGAGTAGCTATTATTCTTTAGTAGTATAGAACTTACTTTACTTAATTTTAATAAGAGTTCTTTAGTTACTTTATAAAGCTTACTCTACTTAGTTTTAATAAGAGCTTACTAATATTAATTTAGTATTATATCCTAAGAGTTAACTCTATTATATTTAACTTATTTATTATATAGTATAAGGTAACTACTAATTAGTATTAGTATTATACTAGTAAATAAATAATAAGTATATATTAATATATATTAAAATCTAAGGTTTAGTTTAAAAGTATTTAAAAGTATATATTATAAAAAGTATCTAAAGATTAGAATATATATACTACCTCCTGAATAGCCCTTAGTTTATATCCGAAAGAAGTCTATCCCTTAACTAGGATTACTTATACCCCTTAACTTCCCCTTATATTTCTATAGTATAAGTCTACGAACTAATAGTTAGAAACTATAAGACCGATTTTCTATCCTTATTTAAATCTTTCCCTTCTCTCTCTTTGAGTCCTACTTACTAGTATTATAACTACCTTTTAATATAATACTCAGATTTTTTAAGGAATTAAGGATTAATATATATTAAGTTATTCCTATATCTTATTTTTTTATATAGTGTTATATTAATAGACTTAATTTGATTTCCTTAGAACTAGGAGTTTCGGTTTCTTTAGCTTATCTTATACTTAGGCTACCTTAAAGCTAAGCTCTTAACTTAAGCCTTAAATCCTATATAATATAATTAATTAATAACTTTATAACTAGATATTTAATTAAAACTAAGAAACTTATAAGTTAGTTTATTAGTATTCTAGTTTATTTCTATAAAGTTATAGTATTTTATAATCGCGTTTTATAAAGATACAGGTAGGTATGTTTCTAGAGAGAAGAGACGGAAACGATTTTTAATAAGGGCGGGCGCCCACCCGTGGTTTTTAACTAGTTACGTAACGGACTGATGGGGTTGCTTGAGCAATGCGGTCAAGCCGCAGGGGAAACATTCGTGCAGAATGCCTGAGCACCACAGTCCATCCATGCCAAGGTCTTGATACTCGGAAATTCCGAGGTAATTATGTGCTCTAATAAATCATTTGTCGTGCTGCTCCTCCGACCTGTCAGTTATGAAGACGTCCAGCATTCGTTCGAGCACATCTCTCATTCACATACACTTCTAGCAACAACAAGGTTGCAAGAGCTTTCTGGACGCTTCTACTAGGGCGATAAAGGCACTTTCTCTCACCTAATATTCATATATAGAAACAGGCGGTGACTTCATCGGGCTTCGTGCTTCCAGCTCTCTTTACCAGATGATCCAGTCCGGATACCTGTTGACAATCAGCTTCTTAGCTGCAGTTGGCTATTTCGCTGCTCTGTGGATCAGCGGATATAGTCGACGACCGAAAGGGACCAGAAAGCTGCCTGGACCCAAGGGTAAATCACCTTATAGGCTCTTATGACCCCCAAACTCTTAACTGACTTTAACGATTACCGCAAGGTGTTCCTATCGTAGGCAATCTACTACAGATTCAATCCCGACACTCCTGGCTACAGTTCAAAGCTTGGGCGGACAACTATGGGCCAATATTCTGCCTCAAACTTGGGCTCCGTGAACACGTAGTCATCTCTTCGGAGGCAATTGCCAACGAACTTCTGCGGGAGCGTGGTAATATTTACTCATCACGGGAGCAGGTTCCGATGGCAGCGGAGCTTCTGTCGCATAATCTACGCCCTCTACTACTTCCATACAATGGTATGTGTAGTAGCTTCTCCTAGAGAACCTTGGATCGAGTTTGAAGACTGACGACAGCTCAAGATCGGTGGCGACGAGTGCGGAAGTTTATGCATCAGCTTACTATGCCCCGGGTGGCAGCCACATATGAGCCTTCGCAATCGCTCGAATCGAAACGTCTAGTCTACAACCTTCTCCGAGATCCAACCAACATTGCTCTCCACCTACAGCTATATTCAGGAGGACTCATCTTCCGCATCGGCTATGGCAAGCGTCTGAAGAGTCACGAAGAGCCGTATCTTCGTCGCATCATTCAAGTCAATCATAATCTAGAACGCATCGCGTCTCCAGGATCGTATCTGGTCGACACGATTCCGCTTCTAAAACACTTGCCGACATGGCTTGCGCCCTTTAAGCAGGAAGCTGCTCGCCTTCATGCAAAAGAGGTGGGACTGTTCCGTGAACTCATTGATAATGTTCGGGAGGAAAGGCACCAATACAACGCAAAGCCCTGCTTTGCTCTGACACTACTCGAAGACCAAGAGAGGTTTGAGCTGACTGACGACGAAGGCGCATACGCAGTTGGAACCATGTTTGAAGCTGGGAGTGGAACGACTAGTGCAGCGATGTTGAACTTCGTTTTTGCCATGACTCATTACCCAGAGTGGCAGACACCGTTGTGGGAAGAGCTTGATCGGGTCTGTGGGAATCGAATACCTGAATTTACAGACATTCCGGAGTTGCCCACTGTCCGAGCAGTCATCAAAGAGACAATGCGATGGCGCCCTGTCACCGCAGGAGGCGTGCCCCATCAGCTCACGAAAGATGATGTCTACGATGGCTATTTCCTGCGCGCCGGGACAATGGTGCATGCCAACCAATGGGCCATACATCGTGACCCTAAGCTATATCCTGACCCCGAGACTTTCAATCCTACACGCTGGTTGTCCAAAGAGTTTCCTACCTACAGCGAGCCTCTTTCCAAGTTCCCAAACCTGCAGAACTTCACTGCATTTGGGTCAGGCCGTCGAATATGTCCTGGCATGAATATCGCCGAGCGATCACTCTACATTCTCACCGCTCGAATCGCATGGGCATGCAAAATCTCGAAGAAGCGGGATTCTGCCGGTCAGGAAATACCAGTGCCGCTCTACGATTATACGGCTGGCTTTAACACTGAGCCCAATCCGTGGTCGTTTGAGCTGGTCGCACGGAACAAAGAACGAGAGGAAGCAATTATCAAAGCATGGGAAGAAGCGATGGACACTGATCCTTTGAGCAGCTAACAAGCTAGTTTTATGAGACAGTATGGATGCAGCCTACCTTGCACTTGAATAATCGAATTATGCAGACGTCACATGCAAAATTACACTGTATTCTACCTAAGCCGTGAAACCTGTTCCACGTAAATGACATGACTTCTTTCGCTCGTAACTGCCATACGGAACACAATTGGAACCTTGAAGTTTTTACATGGCGGAAAGTCAGTGCACTAGTCCTGTAGTACTGTACAGTAACTTGCAGGCCATTACCAGAATCTTGGCGGCCTCGCTTTAGCAACCTAGGTTGGACAGGGGGCACAGGTCGTAAATCGTAATACAGGGATACTATCCTGCTGATTAGCAATCCGAAACCCCGTTGCCGACCGGTAGACCCGAGACAAGACTTTCTAGGAGGGATCGCGATTCGCGACAGGCTTTCCGGCGGGGAATCAACTGTCTACGAGTAAGGTAAGTCCAGCAAGCGAGAAAAGCTAAATCTAATCTAAGGTTCGTACCTACCTAGGCAGCTAGGTAAATTTACGTAGCTAAATTACAAGAGATGAAACCTAGGTACCCTGGTTTGTGAGCCGACAGATGTGAGAACTAGATGTCTTTGAAAATGGTACAAATACTCAAATATTCAAAGCTGCAACGAGTTAGTAACCAAGTAAGGGTTTGAGTGCCGCTTTGGTGGTTTGCTCTCTGGTCTCGTTTCAATGGAATGGAATAATAATGGAATGGAGTTATCGGCGACTTGCTTGCTTCCCCGCCGGAAAGGACGGGGACTGGGACACCGACAGCGACGAAACAGGGCAAGTGGAAAGAAAGGCGGGGTTGTGGGGTGCCGGGTTGTGGGGAGGCTTCCATTGGATTGGACTGGTCTGCCCAGGGCTTGCTCCAACCTTGAGGTGACAGAGTCCCGATTTCGTCGCCATTCTTCCTCCTCCTCCTCCCCCTCCTCCTCCTCCTCCTCTCCCAGTTCCTCCTCTATCTCCATCTCCATCTCCGTCTCCATCTGCATCTGCACCTCCAGATCCAGCTCCGTTCCCATCCCACATCCAAGACGTTCCCCCCTGGTTGTCTCTTTAGTCAATATTATGCTTGGTCTCTCATCTCTTCGCGGTGAAAAGCGACCAGCAGCCCGTGAAGGGGACGAGGTGCGGCGTCCCAGAAAGCGAGAGAGGTACACGCGCGTGGCATGGTATGTTTTCCCCTTCGAAATCTTCCACCATAGCTTCCAGGGCTCGTGGAGAGGAGAGGCTGGCTAATCGCAGTGTTCAGTGAATCCTGCAAGTCCAGAAAGGTCAAATGCAGTGGCAAGCAGCCATGTAGTCGGTGTTCCGAGCTAGACATGCGATGCACATACAACGACTACATCCCGCAGCCGCCCTCCGAGTAAGACCTCTATCCTTGCCTTGTGGCATGGGTCCTGACAGGACAATAAGTGATAGGAATGCGGCAATACGAGCACGAACCGACCAGAAGGCAAGGCAGTTCACAGATGCCCCCCCACAAGACCTCGGCCAGCTTTTGTCTGCCCTGAAGAGAACCTGTGACGAGATTCAATCGTCAACTACGATTTCTGGCGTCCCCTCTCCACCCTGTCCGCCACTAACGCGACGGAGGTTGAGTAGCGAGGATACTGAGTTCAGAGATACAACATCGCCTACGAACTTTCTGCATTCGCTGAATCTCGCTCGGTCAGTTTTGCAGCAGAGAGGGGTGCTTACGACTCCTGGTCTCAACTATGAAAGCCCATCGGTATCGAGGGACCCCGCCCAGTCCCTAGATACCACCATGGCTTTGCTCCGAGCCGCTCGTCCTGTGCTCGATGTTGGCTATGATGCCGTTTCGCACTACATGACCATATTCAAACTCGAAATCTACCCCGCATATCCATGTGTCATCCTTGACTTTGCTCAACGGAAGATTGATACCATTTTCAAGATCTCGTCGGCTACTACAAACAGCGAAGCTGAAAACCTGGAAATAGATCTGATCGATGTTGAGATAACGAAGGTAGTGCTCGCCATTGCGATGTTAACAGAATACAAGGACACTCCGTTGAGTTCTGATATTGAGTCCCATCTCATTTGGAACATTGATAGAAATATGAAGCAAGAGACCGCACAACTTGAGGACATCATCATAGCCTCCTTACTAGTGAGTGTTTCCAAGAAAAGCCCTGAAACCGAAGCAAAATACTAAAGGACCCTTTGCAGGCAATCTACTTCATACTGAAGGATGAGGCAGTCAAGGCGTGGCGAATGGCTGGTTTTGCCGCTAAATCATGTCTCGAATTAGGAATGCACAAGAACAGCTTTTATGAAAATCAGAGCGGCGGTCCGGACAAAAGAATCTTCTCTAAGACCTTGTTTTGTTGCGTATACGATCTCGACAAGAGGTGCAGTTTCTTCGCGAATCTTCCCTGGACGCTGCATGACAAGGCCATTGATGAGAATGTTTTCAATCTTGTGCGTACTATTGCGAACTATCAAAGCCTCAACTTTATTTCACGATCATACGCAAGTGAAAGTTCATGTGCTAACCACAACTACAGGAATCCCGCCACCCATACTTATTGGCAATGATAGGCTTGAGTCGCGTCCAATTCGAGATTATTGAACTCATCAATTCCTCTACACCAGAAAATAAGGAGGATGACGAGAGGGCGGAATTTTTTGATTTCCGGGTCCAGAAACTGGTCGAAAGCATCCCCCAAAATGGCTTTTTCCCTCCAGACTCGGACGTTGTTCCTTTACCATCCAGACAGACCGCTTTGAAAGCGCTTTTCCAACTTCGTGCGAGCCACATTAGAATGCTCACCCATATCCGATGTCTAAGCTCTTCTCAAGCCCTGGCATGCCGACCGCAATCGGCACGTACACTGGTCTCGCTGGTAAAATTCACAGTGGATCTCCATGGGAAGACACTTAAGCTTGGTGGGTTAAGTCGTCTCTTACGGTCAACGTTCGACAAGCTCCTAATGGGATCTGTATCTTGCATGTTCCTCACAGCATCACATGATCCGAAAGAGTACGGGCCAATGTGTTGCAGCCACTTTCACACAGCTCTCAATATTCTGAGTCAATCCGACTTTCGACTGAACGGATGGCACTCAAAGATGTGGTGCACGTTGGATGACTTGCGGAAGATAGGGGGTAGCATCCATATGCCCGCACCAGAAAGATTGCTAGTACAGGTGAACAGCTCAGAAGAACCATCTACCGTAATTGAAGATAGCCAACGCCCATATGGAGAGGAAGACCTTTTTGAGCCGTTTGAGAGCACGGACAACGAACTTCTTGCAATCTTTGGAGACACCAACTCCAAGAGCCTGGATTCGGTCAACATGAGCAGCTACATTGACTGCATGTATGATGGGTTGAATCTACCTCCCGTCACATGGAACTATATGTGATCCAGCACACTTCTGGACGCGCATGTCACGTTCTACGGGAGCAGGGAAGCTGATATTCCTATCGCGCTTCACTTTGCTTGTATCTTTATCTTTCCTTCCCGATATCAACGGTGACATCGGTGACAATGGTAAATCACCACCACCTACAGCAATTTGTATGTATTGTACCGGGATACCAGCAAGAAATTGAAACTTCTCGCTTGTAATGTCCCCCAGCTGCAAACACGTATGATTTGCGTTGAATGCTTTGAAACACACTTAGTCACATCTGAGGCGAGACTAAGGGCAAAATGTGAGTGAAATGATCAATCTCGACGGTCTGTATCCGGTTAATCCTCAACTCTTCTCAAAACCTCATGTACAACGTTGACCCAATTGTCCTTACCTACCAATGTGAGCCTTGAGGAACTCAAATCCTTTGCTGTTAATCTCAAAAATTTCCTCTCTATGTTTGGACTTCGCGTCGAAGCTGTGGCCAGCCCCGTCGACGAGTACCAACTCCATCTCCACTCCTCTGGCCTTCAACTCGTCATATGCTTGCTGAGAAAACTTGGATGGACCAGGGTGTCTTAAGTTCGGTGAATGAAATAGGTTGGTGAAGTTTTCCTTGGGAGAAAAGAGGCGCTGGATCGTTGCGATCGAAGTTGCCATCCCATCCCCAATCAGAGTCTGCATGTGTTTGCCATGCTTGATGGTAATGTATATCTAAGCGTGGGAGGTGCGCCACTGGTCGGTGCTAGAACGTCTTTGTATTTCTTGTTGACTGAATCTTCGTCGAATTCTAGGATCTGAGATATGGTCGATGAGCGGATGTTGTATAGAGGATCTGGAAGGCATTTCATGCCATACAAGTCTAGTATAGCGAGCGGTGGATTGAGAAGACTAGCCCATTGTTATCACATTTTCTGTGAGCGAGTGATCCCATCAGCTTGTGTGTGGATTGTTCTGGCACAGCTACCACTCAAGTACCATAAGGAGCGCCAAGATTCCCCACAAGAGTGCCATAATCTTCGAGCCATCAGCATCGATGCCGGCGTCCGCCTTCAACAAACCTGGCAGAGTGTTCTATACCCATGTGTAGGTGTCGCGCGCATCTGAGACCGGACCGTCAAATTGGGTCGTGGAAGGGCAGAGTCGATACCTAGGTAGTTAACGGATATCTCAACGAAGCCGAGTTCGAGAAGCCTATCGGTGTAATTTTTGGGGTAGCAGTTCTTTGCAGCCGGTGGTAAAGTTGCCACCATGGAAGTACAGCGCTACTCAGGATCTGTACTAGAGGGGCGTGGGAGGCGGAAGCCTGCTCTTTGCTGGGCCTGAGAGAGAAACATACGAACCTATTGGACGGCTTGCACTTGTTGTGTTGCTGTCCCAGTGCATATCCCTGACATCTTTGAACGAGTATTCGTGACAGCCGCACTTGATGTAACATTCACAAAATTGCCCTTACTCTCGTGGTTGCTGAAGAATTCGATTGAAAGGCTGATTGTTTGAACGATTGACTGATTGACTGACAGTTATTTTCGTCCTTTCGGGATACACCGAATGCTGTATCGGCCTGGACCCCCAGAGGCTATGAGGGCGGGCGTGTGGGAATTACCTATATACAAACCGAAGAATTTCGAGAGACTGTGAGAATGGCCCTTAATGTGAGCAATGGAGTGAAATATCGAACACCAACTTAAATACAGTGATTGATGAATGTGGTGCGGCCTTGCTCCATGTACATTTAGAGTTCCCAATTAGGAGCATTCCGCGGAAGAGAGGTGCTGTGCTGTTACCGCAGGAACCGAAACTCTCGGATTGCCGAAGGCCCATTGGTCGCCAAAGGTAAAATCTACCTAGGTAAATTACTGTCGGGTATTCAACTTCGTAAGTCCCGTCAGCATCAATGCGAGTCGCACAGCACGATTTACAAACGTGTCCGCATGTAAATTTTACAGTATACGTTCCGACTAGCAGCAGTTGGTCATCTCACATCCCACTCATTCCTTTACTCGCTCGCTCTTTTTAGCTGCTCAGGCACAGCGTTCCATCTGAAAGAAGACATTGATTGGTCTGTCACCCTACCTACTTTGTTCGGTGCCATTAGAGCACAGCCCGAAGGCGCGCTGTAAATGGGCCTGGACGTGGCCTGGATGTGGCCTCCGGTTCAGAGAGTCTACATTATCTGTAGGTGCCTGCCTAGCTAGGGAGGTATTGTTGCCCAAGGTACCTGGGTAAGGTACCCTCAGTACCTTTCTGAGGGCAAGATTCAGATGACCTGGCGTCCTTTGCCCCGGAACTTTGTAACTTTGTAAGCTCGCTTCAGGCAGCCGACCTTGAACAGCTGTCTGTGTTTATCGCACTTCATGAGAAGCGCATTCTGGTGTCTGGTGTAGTCGGTGTGTGACATAGTAACCATGGCCATTGCGCAGCTGAACGTGTGCACGAACTCTCAAGAATACATGAAAACATTATTAGAAGCAGCGCATTTCCATTCGTGTTCAATACCGTAGCTCTTCGTCATGTTGCGACATCCTGGCCGGCATCACGTTCTCTTTCAATGACTTTTACTTGGATCGCCGGCTTCACAAACCACCCACTGCTAGTCGTCCACTCACTATTACCTGCAGGGACGAAGTCAAATCTCTGTACGAGTTGCGGTAGGAGTTTTGTCATTTCGAGGAGCGAGATGTTCTTCCCAATGCAAGTTCTTGCCCCGGCACCAAACTGTAGACCACATCAGTCCTATGTTCCCAATTAGCACCCTGTGTGGGTAAGATTTGCCTACCGCCAAAAAGTGTTGATCCAAGAAGGCAAGTTGCTCTTTGTCAACTAGCCAGCGCTCCGGCCGGAATTCGTGTACGTCTTTGCCCCAGATGTTTTCGTCGCTATGAATCACCCAGGCATTTATGCCCACCACAGTCTAAGAGCGATCAATGATTAGTACCTATTTCTGAAGACCATGCGACGAATCTTTGGAACTTACACCTTCTGGGAAGTGTCTACCAGCAAGCTGTGCACCGCCCTTGGGTACTACCCTGCTCATGATCTGACCAACAGCTGCATGCAGCCGCAGAGCTTCTTTGATGATAGCCTGCAAGTATTGAAGCCTTTGGCCCTCTTGGAACGTGACGGGGTTGGAAAGATTTCCTTCGTGAATGGCCGTTTGGATCTCATCGCGAAGCTTCTGCAAGCAATGCGGATTTTTCATGAGGAAATAGATGACTGCAGTCATGCTGATGCCTGTGGTGTCAGAGCCAGCACCTATGTTCGAACCAATCACATTGTTTATCGTGAACTGATCCAGTTTGCCAGCTTTGCTCAGTTCGACACACTTTCCTAGGAAGTCCATGCGATCGCTGAAACTGACGCCCTGCGTTCTAGCACCTATTTCTTTGAGAATGACTCTTTGAACGACTTTCCAGTGGCTTTCGATAGGGAAGACTTTCTGAAGCCATAGATACCATGGATGAATCTCAGGAATGAGGCCTGCCATGGAACCATAGCCTATGGATCCGACATGCACAGCATGCAGAAGTCCATCCTTGTCGTGGCCAGCCTCGATCAGACCAAACGATCGTCCCAGAGTGATCTCGCCAATAACATCAAATGCATAAAACTGTAGCCAGGTGAACAAATCGAATTCGCGCTCGTGTTGGGCATGATCAGCTAACGCACTCATGAACTCGCCATTGACTCTGTCTACAAATTTCTCATAGGATACCAGGGAGCTCATCGCGTACATATTGGCTGTCTTCTTCCTTTCCAGCGCATGCTTTGCATTGCTCGTCTCAGAAAAAACATCCTTGTGGCCCATAGCGGGTGCACCAAAGACAGTGTAGTAATCGGATTTGTAGAATTTGGAGCCAGCGCCATATATCTGGCGGATCGCAGTCGGGTCGCTGATGCTGTAACGATTAGGTGCGAGTCGGACGATTGAGCCTCGAATCATGGTCAGCACATGCATTCATGCTGAGTGCGGACCAGCTACCATATTTTTTGTGTAGAGCGACCGTGACATGTTCTAAGTGACCTTGCCAATTCTTGTATACCTCCCACAGACGAGTGTAACGGGTGACCGCTGGGCCCTTTACACCACGTAAGGGGCTGAAAAGAGCACTGAGTAGAAGATACAGGATCAAGAGAGCGCTGAAGGCGGATATGAGCCCAAACAAGTTGTATGACATGTCCGTAATTTTGGTGATCATCATGCCAGCTGCAAGTCCAAGTTTCACTTTGGGCAAAAGAAACGAAACCTCGTTAGATGATTTTGTTCGCTCTATATAATTTTGCGCGTGTCAGTGGCAGCTCACATGACAAAGTAGTTCCATCCATCTATTCCGCGGAGACGACCGTCTCGTACTCGATATAACCTAGACGAGTATAAGCGTGCATGAGGGGCTCGTGCCTGCAAAGCGCACGCGCAAGCGATTTTTAGTAGGGGAGCCTGGCGCATGCGTCTAGACTAAGAATCTTGGCAGCGCATAACACGGATAATTATTTAATTCGTGTGTTCTACTTGCCTTATTAGTAGAGAAGGCCCCGCTATGTTAAAGGACCTTAAGAGCTCTATATAAACCTAATAAACATAGTCCCTACTATCCCTTCGTCCGCTGAGATATTGACACGCTAGCAGAGGTAGTGCGGCCCGGTATAGGAAGCGAGCACGGTAGGAGGTCTATATTACTTTATATACTTTTATATATAAATTTACTAGTAAAAGATATAAAGCTAATAAAATTATATCTAATACTCTCTTTTATTATATAAAGAAATATTATAAAAGTCGTATTTATTATAAATTTACTTTTAGAAGATAAGCTTACCTCTTAGTATATTTTAATATTTCTTTAAGTATTTATATTATATATAGAAGTTATATTTAAGTAGTCTCTTATAGAAATATAATATTAGAAAGTCTAAATTAAAGAACCTCTTACCCTTTAACTTATAATATAATTAAGTAAGCTATAGCTTTTAGAAGTAGCTTAAGAGCTTTTAATATAACTCTATTCTAAATTATAAGTGATTTAATAACTACTAAACCTTTACATAAAGTATATATAACCTATAGGTGTTAATATAAGCTATATTAATTAACTAATAAAATAGAGTTTATTAATTCCGATATATAATATAATAAGATTTATATAATTCCCAGAATTAATTAGTTAAATTAACTCCTCTTATATAGTAGTTATAATTATTAATAAAGCACGGAATAAGTAGCTTTTTTATATAATCTCTTCTAAAGACTTATTTAATGATTTAGCTATTAGTTGATATTCTTACTAGCCTTCTCTGTAATTTTATTTAAAAGTTATTTATTTAGTAAACTATATAAATATTATTAAGAGCTAGAATAATATTATTATCTTACTAGGCTAAATATAGTATGTTTTATATTACTTTTATAAATAAAGTATTCTATAGTAAAGAAGTAATAAAACAGGCTTTTAAGATAGAAAAATTAGTAAGTAAAAGTATGTATAGATATATAGTACTAATAGCTCTATAGCTATAGTTCTAAAGTTCCTTAAATAAAAGTATAAATATAAAGTAGTTATTAAGATAAACTATAAGGCGTTTATATAGTAGGGAAAGGACTAAAGATCTTATAAGGTAACTTATAGGAGTAAGGTCTAAGTATTTAAAAAGAGCTTATAACTTATACGCGCGAGAGCTCTAAATCTAGTTATATATATATATACTTATAGTCTGTATTTCCGAATATTTTATACTCTTACTTAATCGGTTTAGCTATTATCTTATAAGTATATAATAATTTAGTATAAATTAAAAGAGACTAAGTAATTAATAACAGAAGAGATACTTACTTTCTAAAACAGCGTACTATAAGCTTATTAATACTTACTTCAGTGGAAAGAGAGTAATATTATTAGTAAGATATCTAAATCTCTAAAGCTAGAGGCTCTAGCTTATACTACTATATCTTATTTAAAAGTAAGTAGTAGCCTTAATATTTATTATCTTCTATACTAGAGATATAATAATATCTCTTAATATCTTTATAGATATAAAGATAGTATATATTAAAATTAAATATATTAGACCTCTCTTTCTATCTGTATTCTAGTATATATTAATATAAGGCTTATTATAGACTCTTATATATATAATTACCTTAAGAAATATATATATATCTTCTTTAGAACTATATCTTATTATACTCGAGCTTTTTCTTATTTAACTTATATTTGTTAGAGGTTTATATATCGATTTGTATTAGTTATAATAACTTATAAAAGAGAAGATATAAAGAATAAAGTAAAGTAATCGAATAAGTATATAAAAGGAAGGAATTTAAGTAGTAGAGTTACTATAGTAGGCTATGGTAGTTCATACTTAAAAGGTTTAAAGGAAACGCTTATAATTAGTCTAAATTCTTTTATTATATCTTTAAGAATTAAGTTCTTTACTTTCTTTTATAGTAAAAGTTTATTTAAACCTTCGAAATCACTAGAATCACTCTTAAGAAGATACTTTATTTTTATAATATATTCTAAGAATATAAATTAATAGAGTTAACACGTTAATTTATTCTCGCGATATCTTTTGTTATATAAATTATATATAGGAATATTATTAGTCCGTAGACTTATATTATAGAAGTATAAGAAGTAATTAGAAGGAACAAGTAATCCTAGTTAAGGGAAGGACCTTCTTCGGATATAAACTAAGGTTATTTAAGAAGTAATATATATTTTAACCTTTAGATATTCTTTATAATATATACCTTTAAACACTTTTAAATACCTTTAAATTAAACCTTAGATTTTAATATATATTAATATATACTTATTATTTATTTATTAATATAATATTAATATTAATTAGTAGTTATTTTATATTATAAAATAAATAAGTTAAATATAATAAAGTTAACTCTTAAGATAAAATATTAAATCTATATTAGTAAGCTCTTATTAATAAGTAAACTAAGCCTTATAAAGCAACTAATAAACTCTTATTAATAAGTAGAATAAATTATATATTATTAAAGAATAATAGTTACTTTATAATAATTATTAAGATATCTTTAAAGCTATTTAATTAGATATTTCTAAAAAATAAAAAATACCTCTAAAATACCTATAAATCGTCTCTAATATAATAATAACTCTAACAGATTAAGTTATAAGATAACTTAAAGTAGAAGAATAGAACCTCGATATAAAGTAAAACGCTAGTACTTAGAGTATCTTTAATAAGTCTTATAAAAGCTTATTAGTATCGTACTAGTAAATAAATAATAAGTATATATCGATATATATTAAAATCTAAGGTTTAGTTTAAAAGTATTTAAAAGTGTATATTATAAAGAATATCTAAAGGTTAGAATATATACTATATTCTAAATAACCTTTAGTTTATATCTGAAAAAGATCTACCTCTTAATTAAGATTACTTATACTTCTTAATTTTCTCTTATACTTTTATAATATAAGTCTATAGATTAATACTAGTAAAACTTCTTTTAGAAATAAAAGGTTTCTAATAATTATAAAAGAAATAAAATAAAGAATATAAATATAATATTAGTAAAAAGATCTGGCTCTAGGCAGCCGCCGGCTAGCTGCTATAGGCGCTATTTTCGCGATTTCTAGCCTAAGTTATATATTAATTAATTTAATAGCTAGTAACCCCTAAAGCTATATATAGTAATTTAAATTAATAACGTAGGCGCCTAGGGCGACTAAGACGCTATAAGTACTTATAAGCTTAATTAGGACTAGCGTATAAAATAAAAGTAAGTCCGATTTTTTTATATTATATAAGATATATTAGTAAGCTTACTAAGGATACTAAGAATACTAAGGATACTAATAAGAGTATACCTTATAAGAGGGTATTATTAGGCTTATATCGCTTAATTAGATAAGGCAGCGACTTACTCTTATATAGAATTTACCCGAATCGAATTATAAGCTTATTAGCGATTTTTTAGCGTAGATATTTATAGTGTTAAAGGCTTAGCGAGACTAGTTTTAAAGATATATATAAAAAGTATAAGTCTTTTTAAATTCTTAGTTAAAATCTATACTAGTCTAATTATTTTTAGTTAGTTTAAAATCTAAAAATAAACTTAACTTTTAATTTTTAATTCTAATTAAAAATGTTATATCTTTTCTAATTAGGTCTAGCTTATATATAAAAGTAAGTCTTATAAAGAGCGCTTAGGGCGTATAAGGCGGCCTCTTATTTTTAGGCTAATATATAATAGCTCTTTATATTTTAAAGCTACTTTAAGCGTAAGAGGCTATTGAATAGCGGAAATAGTGAAAATAGCGAGTAGTATATACACTTAGCGCCAGAATTTTTTACTAATAAATAAAAGAAGCTAAAGATATAATAAAGTAATAAATATCTGACTTATATATATTAAAAGCTAGAATATCTCTAGTTACTATCCGAAAGTACTTCTTTTATTAAGTAAGAATATAAATAAATTATAATCTACTATTAAATAATATCTTAGAATATAAAAAATATATATAAACTTATAGAGAATTAAATAATATTATTATTAGGTTAATATAAAGTCCTAAGAAGTCGAAGAGTTAATATTTTATTTAGTAGTAGTTAATAATATAAAAGTAGAAGATAATAATAATAACTAAGTAATAATAATAAATAATATTATATTATATCTAAATCAGGCTTAAATTAAGTATATTTATAAAGATAACTTCCTTTTTAAAACTTTCTCTTTTCTTTATTAAATAATAATAATAATAACTATAAGTTTAAAATTAGTAATATTTACTTTAGAGATTCTTACTAATTATAAGATTTTTTTAGAAGATATTAAATAAATTAAGTAATTTAAGAGTAAATATATCTTATTCTAAGGGCTAATATAGTAGTAGAGCTTTTTACTAATACTAATTAGTATTAACTCCCTGTTCTCCTAGTACTCTGTTAGTTATATTTTATATATAATACTATAAATATATTAATTATTAAAAGAAAAGTAACTCGAAGTTATATAAATACCTAAGTCCTATAAGCTTAAAGTACTAGTATTATATTAAGAATAAGAATAAATATAAACTTATAAGTATCTTCTATTTAAATCACTATTATAACTCCTTTAATAAAAACCTTTTATAACTAATAGAAGTAGATCCTAGTATATATAACTACTAAATATTATACTTTTATTAATACTTTTACTAGTAGAAATAAA